TGAGGGTCTTGTGAGGGGGGGGGGGGGGGGGGGTGCCCCCTGCCACTGCACGCACCCCTGGGGGAGGCATGGGAGGCATGTGCCCCTGGATCTGCGTGCAGGGCCGGGGCAGGCTGCCACTGCGGGCTGGAGCCCGGGGGTGGGGCTGGGCTCTTCCTAGTGGGGGGCTGGGCTGGGCTGGGCTTGGGGCAGGAAGTGGCAGAACTGAGAGGGGGACTACAACAAATTTTGGGGTGGTTGCAGCCAGCCCCCTCCCAGCACTGCCGCCACCCACCCTGAGCGTAGTCTGGCCCAGTCCCCCACTGGGAAGAGCTCAGCCCTGGCCCATAGTGGCAGCCGCCCTCACTCCATGTGCAGATCCAGGGGCATGCCCCCCATGCCATCCCAGGCTGTGCGCAGCATTGGGAGCTGCCTCCCCCACACCCCACCCTGGCTGTGCAGTGCCTGCCCCAGCCCCACTGCCTCCCTCCCTCCCTTCCTCCCGCACTGCAGGGGCCTTGATTTGCCCTCCTCTCCTATGCCCCTTCCCTCCCCTGTCCACTTCCTCCACAACAGACTTCCCCACCAGACACTGCCAGGCTGTGCTCCTCGCCACATATCAGCAATCAGATCAGAATTAGCCAATATGGCTACTTAAAAATTGGCCATCAGTATCAGCACAAAAAAATCTGTGTCAGTGCATCCCTAATCACTACCCTGCATTTGCTTAGCTAGATTGCAAGAGACAAGGAAAATATGGCATTACTGTTAGAAAATGCATCTTTCTAAATTATAGTACATTGAGACTTTTAGTTTGAACTTTTCCTATGAGGAACTTTCCACTCTCAGTGAGCCCTGTAAAGCCAGTTTTCAGGACTATTGATCTACAATAGTATGACAGTCCTTTGAAATGTTGGTGTCTTATGTTTTCAGAGTAACTTACTTGAATCCAAGAGGAGGGTTTTTTTCCCCCATTTACCATGGGGGAAAAGGCTCCTTGTCTTGGAATTAAGTAGAAGGCAATGAGGTGAGCGTGGAGCAGGCAGAGGTGCAGAGGTGGTGGGGGGGCTGAAGGGACAGAGGCTGTTGCAGGCTGGAGGGGGCAGGTGGTAGGGAGAAGGCAGGTGCTAGCGGGTGCAGGCATGGAGGGACAAGTAGTGAGGGGGACAGGTGGCAGAGGCCAACATGGGGGTAGGGAACAGACTGCACAACTCCCTACCGCAATCCCTACCACCTGCCCCCTCCCCCACTTACTGCTCCCCTACCACTGCTTTTCCCATTGCAGTGGTGAGGGGGGGTGAATTCAAGATAACCCTCCAATAATTACATTATATAACAAATTGATACATTTTCCATGTATAAACTCTAATTATCAGGGATCGTCTTAAATACAGAGTCGTCTTGGATTCAGGTAAATACGCTACTACAGTACAAAGGCTGCAGCCCTGGAGCCACCAGCAGCACTGGATCCACCAGCTTTGTTCCTGCCATTCCCCTGATGCATATATATGAGTTGAGGGAACAATGCAGTGAACCGGGAGCTCCTATGTTGTTTGGCTCTGCTTCTCAAAATGTTGTCTCACCTACTAGCTGACATAGTCTGTGGCCCCTATCGCCTGTTGAAGAGAGGTAGAAACAAAACTAAGGCCCCCATCTACCTCTTTATTAGCTTTTCTAATATAGATAGAACGTTGTAACAGGCTGTGCTCTACAGGCTAACTGTTAAATCATCATTAACTTTGTAAGCTTTTTGCTTTGGTGAGGGGCCTACTGTTTAATGGAAGCTGAGTTGAGATCTTGTAATGTCATCTATCTGTGTTAGGCAATACCCGCTCTATTCAGTGGCAAATGGAAGTCAGTAACTGAGGTTTCTACAAATAAATAATTATCAGCATGCAGCAGAACTGCTAGAACATTCCTCCCATCCCAAATGCATAACAGTAAAAAGCAAAGAGGTCAGCAAGGGACATTCTTCCCTGCTGTACTTACATTGACTCCAGGGAAATTATACCTGAGATGGATCTAGCTCATTGTTTCTTGACTGACCTGCAAAAGGGGAGGGACAACAGAACATCCTACAAATCTTCTGCTACAGATCCTCCTACTAGTAAAAAAGTATGATGCTGTAGTATAGTATTCTTAGTAAATGCTTATGCACTTACGCACTTGCTTAAACAAAATGAGACATAAGAATATAAATGCTTTGCTAAAAAGGAGCCCAAAGAAGGAGTATAGCTATTACCAGTCAAATTCATACTTGACTCCACTGGCTTATCTCCAGAGAATCTGTTAGCTTATGCTGTGAATTCCATTGGAAGTATAATGGGGCAGCTCTGAGCCCTGGGCAGAGTGGTAGTGCGTGGGGCAGTGCTAGCTGCTATGCTGCCAGCAGCAGCATGGCCAGCTTCCAGCTGAGGCAGCAGCTATTTTTGCGTCCTGCTCAGCAAAGATGGCACCTGGGGCTGCTGCCCCAGTCATCCTCCCCTCAGCTACACTACTGAATTCTCCACACAGTGATTGAAATCAGGAAGAAGACCTCCTTAACACAGAAGCTCAGTAGGGCAAATACTATGATACTCAAACTAAAACATTTCTTCTTTCTATGTTTGAGAGATATTAAAAGCTTCCAGCAAAATCTCTGATTTTAAATATAAAGACTATTTCCTTAACTGGCAGAAACTTTGGAAATGCAAGACACATTTTATTATAGTCACTCAGTCTGGACATCCATCCATCTTGATTCACCATTTTGGTACCCGAGTGTTTAGTTGTTAGTTATGCTGAGAGAAGAGTAAAAAATATCTTACACTTCAGTGCTTGAACAGTTTGCCACTAAGATCAGGAGGTGATTTTTCCTTTTCATTTGGCTACTAGCTTATCATATATTTGTTGGGTTTTTTTTTAATCTTCTTTTTGAAATTTTATTAAACTAAAAGACAAAACTGACCAGGGATCAAAGTCACCCCTTTCCATCCTCCATGAGCTCTGTAAGGAATACCCAGTTCATAACAACACACGTTGATACTTTTGAATTTTCTTCTTCTCTTGCAGTACCTTCCACATAAGAATCTGAGGATGTGGGTGTGAACCACTGTTTTCAGAAATGACTTGACATCAGTCCTGCCTCTCTGAATCTCAGGCACTTGGGGGCTTCTGGCCTCTATTATGGCTTCTTAGAACTCAGCAACAAGGACTGAAATCATTTTGGCCTACTGGGAGAAAGAAGCATCACAAGACCTACAAGTCTGATCTACAAGATCAATGGGATGCCTCAGTTTTTATCACCAGTGTTGCCCAACAATGGCATTCTAGAAAAGATGGCTGGCTGGTTGTGTTTTTTTAAACAAGCAGAATATTATTAAATGTATTTCCTGTAGTTTTTATATTTATGAAAATTTAATATTGTTCTTCAAAGCAAAAAAAGAAAGAAAAATAGACATAAGCTATGTTGACTTTCCGAAGGTTGTTAATTGAAAGAAAGCACTGGCCTTAAAATAACGAGATGTCTCCACCACTGTCTTACACAGCTGGGGGTCGTGCATGGAAATAATTTGATGTGTAAAAGTTGCAGTTGAAATCAAGTTTATGGTTTTGAAGACAAATGCACATTAGGTTTGCCACTGGGATCTCCAAAATGGCAGGTTGCTGGGTTTGGTGCTTAACCTTCAACCAATATTTTATGGATTATCAGATCCTTATGAAACTTGAAGTATTTGCCTTTTGTACAACATCCACATATTTGATTAATTTCTTCCTAAGAAAGACTTTAAACTATGTCTGTTCTCCAAGGAGATCTTGCCTTTTCTCATATGATGGGCTGATAATGTTGGATAGCAGAATATTGTCACCTATAACCCTATGAAGAAACTCAAGAAGCACAGCTCCAGTACCAAGGACATGAAAAAGACATTTTCTTTTTAAACCAGCTATGCAATTGTTCTCATAAAATGCATGAATGCAGCTCTGCATTTCTATCTCCTCCCCTCCTGGAAATCAGCTTTGTCATTTGTTTTAAATTCCAGTATTGTTTAGGTACTGGGGCCTGACAATCATACATATATAACTGTTCTAACAGTCAATAGAAGGGCTCTGTCATTTACATGGCTTCTGTATCATAGTCACTCACTATTAAAACTTTTGACTGATTTTATCCAGCTTTGAAGATTTTTGTGCTGAGCTACAGTATGAACATTCCATTGTGTTCCCAGTTAGTATTTTCTTCCAACTACTGTACTGTACCCTTAAACTGTTAAGGGAATAACTGGCTATCTGAAATTGAAATTTCTGTTGCTTACTAACATAAATAAGATCTTTTAAAAAACTCCATGTGTAAAATTAAAAAAAACCCTCCTCGATAACTTACTGTCAAGTATAAGTCTTAAGTTCCATTTAAAAAAAAAGTACTTTAGAGCCTCAGAGCCAGAATTTAGAAGGTATTTCAGCACCTTAAGATACTGAAATGCAAAGGTTTGAGATGTAGCTTTCTCATCAACTTTACATAGCAGCTTTTGGAAAGAAATGACCATCCAATAAGATAAAACCTATATTTGACACCAGTCCTCCATTCTTTGTACATATGAAGTGTCAGTGGAAGTTTGAACATACAGAGCCTAAGGGGCTGGTTTCTGTTAGGCTAAGGACAGATTTGGGAATACGAAATTCTACTTCAGAATTAAAATGTGTTTGATTTAAAATGTGCCAGGAATTAACCACTGTATGATGATTTTATTTAGTCAGTGATACTATAGTAAGTAATGTTTTATTCCTTCCCCAGTTTTCCAGTCTGGGAAAGGAACTATATCTGGAACCTCCTCTCATTTATTATTGATGAAAGTCAAGTATAAATCTGCCAAAGTCGATAGGTGTTTATACATGTGCTCTGGGAGGCAGGGTGGAAAAGGAGGGGCCTTAATTAGAGCATCTCTGAGAGCCGCTATAATTAAAGTGCCTGGAGTATCACATGTATCAGCGTCCCCACACTGAAAAATGGTGGCGGGAGCACTTTAACTAAAGCTTGTTGAATGGGCTTTAGTTAAAGCGACCCCACCGCCATTTTTCAGCACGGGGATGCTGATACATGTGATGCTGCAGTCTGCTAGAGCACTTAATCGAGTCTGCTGTGAGGCATTGTAATTCCAGTGCGTCGAAGCAGCCTCAGTGTTCATGTACAGGTGCCCCGTGAGTGTTTAAAACTAGTGAAATGGGAATCAGGCCCCAACCATTTGTCAAATAGATTGTGTTAGCTCCATAGGATAATTCTAACAGTTCATATTGGGCATTAAGGAAACATGTTAGGAAAGTACGTGAGAATTACAAAATATCAGGTTGCAAGATTTTAAATTGAATTATGCAGAGGATTCAATCGCAAATTCTTATGTAAATTCCCTTTGACATGGGCATTCTTTCTCCTGGCTCCTTTTTTCTTTTGTGCATTTTTACCTTTATATTTGCTCTTGGATTTTTCTCCCCTTCCCTGTGGCTGAGCCTCAGTCCTCTGTTGGACTTCCCTAACCCATGCATAGGCAGGCTCTGGGGCATGAATGCCGCATGCCCCCAGAGGCTGGGGGGGCACGGCAAGCTCCTGCAGGTGACCACAGCACTGTTGGTGGCAGGAGTGTGGTGGCGGCAAGCAGGGAGCTCCCACAGGTGGCCACAGCTCTGTTGGTGGCGGCAGGGGGGGCAGCACTGACAGGCAGTCGGCCACTACCCACAGACAGGCTGGTGGTGTCAATGGCGAGGGGAGGTGAGGGAGGCGGTGAGCACCAACCACCCGCAGGCACCACCAGCAGTGTCGCTGGTGCCTTTTCACAGGGGGTGCACTACCACACTCAGGGGGCACATGTGCACCCACATGCACCCCCTATGCATCGCCAGTGCTCTGGAGAAATGGATTAATTGTATTTCTATGGGCCGTGTCTGAACTGAGTACTATAGGAGCAAGGAAGTGAAGGCCAAGCCAGCAGCCCCATATACCTGAGTGTTCTCAAGGTCCAGAGGGGAAAAAACAGGGGGCTTTAGTGGAAATGATTGATGCTACCAACCACTGGGGGTGCACTTACAGGGTGCTGAGGAAGTGATATAGATCCAAGGTTATGCAGCTTATCTTTTGTTTGTTTTTTGTCTCCTCCATCACACCTCCCCAATAACAAATCTAAGGTCCTCGGCACTGGGGGAAAACTGTTTTAAATGCCACTCGAGAAAACATGACAGCCAAAGACACTTACAGGATGGAAGTGATATTTTTGATGACAAATACTTCCATATGGTTCCAACTCCTCCAGGCACGGAAGTTATTCTGAAGATGGACAGAAAATAGCATTCTGACAATGAGATCTTCTAGGTCAGTGGTTCTCAACCTTTTTTGTACCAGGACCCATTTGTAAACATCGATGGTCAGTCCTGACCCAGTAAATAGTTCAATTAGAAAACAGCTCCCTGGGTACCCCTCACTCCCGACCCGTTGCCCACCCCAGGCCCCAGGCCACCAGTGTGTGGGGCCTGGTGTGGCTACGTGGGGGGCCCCAAGCAGTTCCTTGCAGGCTGGAATTCTGCCAGCCTACAAGGGAAAATCCACAGTTTCCCACATTTTTCTCCTTTAAAGGAGAATCCATTTTTAAAGTTTGTTGATTCATTTCTTAAAGTTTGTTCATGATCCTTTGATATAGTCTTGCAGCCTACTTTTGGGTCAGGACCCACAGGTTGAGAAACATTGTTCTAGGTGGTCCAGAGCTAGGGGCTGATTTACAGTGGTATCTGCAGCTGCCCCATTGACTTCAGTTGAATGTCTAGGTGCTGGAAGGCTTTTGGTATTGCAGGAACAACTAACTGTGGAGAAGCTCATCAGCTTTTCAGTTTTAAATTATTTTAAGAGGTAAAATTAACAAGCCATCTGTCTTTTTTTACTGTAAAACTATTTGCAGAAGTTCATTAATTCTATGGCAAGCATTCAGTTAACCCAGGTTCACTGATTCAGAAGGAACTATTCAGGCAGACACTCAAATGGAAAGAGAGATTTAAGATTTAGAAATCATTGTGTCCCTCCAATGAAATACAGATACAGGCATTCCTTTATGTAAAGACATTCTTTATGTGTGGACCTGTTCAACCACACACAAGTTCTGTAAAGGGCATGCTGCAAAGGACGGGAGGAAAATCTCATGTTATGCCACCAGTTAAAATAGAGGTGAGAGGCATAATTTGGTTTATATCTGTGTATAAATCTCCAGCCCTTAAGTTACTCTAGTTATTTCAGAAAAAAGAAGCCTTGTTTATTGTATCTTATTAAAACAGTGTCACAAACCAGGTCCTAACCAGGCTTTAAAAGCATCCTGTAACACAAGACTCCCCTGTACCAGCCTATGGGCCACAATCTTGTCTCCCTTACACTGTGGTCTATTTGCAGTGTCTGCAGTAAACCCATTAACCTCAGTGGGATTAATTTAGATTTACACCAATACACTGAGATAAGGCTCTGGGCCTAATTGGGGAGACCAGATGTTCCTTTTGGTTCAGTGTTTACCCTTCTTCACTCCCTCTTTTCTTTGTTCGCTGCTACGTGTGCTTCTTTTGCTTGACAGTCACACATTGGCATGTTACCAGGCCAGCATTGCAACTACATGTACTTCTGACATGTATATAGGCACAAGCTCAAATTTCTACTTCCTGTGAGTTGGCTCATTGTTTTATTTTGCATGCTAGAAGAACATCTGACACACTACCACAGGGTGGCATCATAACATCATATCCTGTCCTTTCTTAAGGACATAATTTGCCATTTCTCTGACATTTATTACATTATGTGGCCTATTTATACTGTAAATGAAAAGAAGAACATTGTTGCTTAAACTGGCACTATACCACAGGTAGTTCCATAAGTGCCACACTTGGTCAAACCAGTAATCCATTTAATATAATAACCTGTCTCCTGACATTGAGCAGAACCACATACCAGTACTTTGGAGGCAGATGTAAGAAAATGGTACTGGGAAATTTTGTAGAATAATCGCCTTCCCTTTTTCGTTTATTATGGCAAGATAAATCTAAGCATCCACTCTTTCTCCTCTGTATAACATATTGTTTTGTACATGGGTATTATATCCTATCTTATTTATCACCACTCAGCTAAGGTCTTAGTCTTTTCAATCTTTTCTTGTAAAGGATTTCTTTCCATGCTTCTAATCATTCTTATCTGCCTCTGACACCACTATACATGCTATAACATTAACAAATACAGTGACCAGTATTAAACATATTACTCCAGGTAAGGGCAAACTATTGACTAATAAAATGTTTCCAGTATTTTCTATCCTATTTATAAATCCTGGTATCTTGTTTGCTTTAAGCATTGATGCACATTGAATTGAGATTTTCATTAAGTTGCTTATGATGATCCACAACATCTTTTTTCATTCGTATGGTGATACAGATCTCATCATCACCCTATGTAATTTAGTTTTTTCCTTTAGATGTGCATTATCTTGTGCATTGATTTTTATCTACCATTTAGCTTCATTAGATTTTGTTGGCTACAAATGTCCAACTCAGGATCCTTAAAATTCTGGTTTATTAGGCGGATTGAAACACTGTAATGAAGTTAAATCATAAACCTTGGGGCTGGTCCACACACACACACACACACACACACACACACACACACACACACACACACACAGTAGCAAGCTACAAGAGTCAGGTATACCTATCCTACAAGAGCTGGAGTCTGCTGTCGAGGCTTCTTTCAGTGTGGTGTTATCTTCCAGAAGGGGGTCACCGGCTGGTCCTTCTGGCTGGACAGGTTGGGTGCTGGTCAAGTTGGAGATCAAGAGGGCGCCCCCGAGGGTCACTTTTCACTGCTTTTTATCTGTCCTTGGCAGACTTTGGTGACACCCCAGTTTTCAGGTTTGCCCAATCCAGGGGTCGTTGACCCTCTTGGGACTTTCCCCCCCTTGGTGGCTACTGGACGGCATTTGTCAGCCCCAGGGGTTGTCCACATGTATGTGCAGGTTTGGGAGTCCGTTGATTAATTTAGGATAGGGCTCTGGGAGTTGTCGATTTGGAGATATTCAGCCCAAATTTGGTCCC